CAATCAATCGCACTTTGCTGTTTTCTGAATTTACGTATTTGCCTGGTCTACCTAGACTTATCCGACGTAATACACTTGCACGTATATTGTTCAAACTATATTCGTTTTCTTGTTCGACATAGTATATCAGCTATTCGCAAATAATAAAATATTTTCCCGATAAATATTATTCAGCGATCTACGTTTTATTTTTTATTTTTTCCGGAGTATTTCTTACGTATTTTCGGCGTAATCGTTGCCATTAAAAACCGGAAAATCGGAAAAATGGCATGAGTAGGTACTCATCGATTTAGCAAAATAATTTTCAGACCGGCTTCGTTTTTGTGTAAAGTTTGTCATAACTCAGTGGCTAATGAGGAACGATCCAATGTTCATCGGACGTGTAAAATTAGGCCATTATTATAATATAATATCTTTTATAACACATATTATACAATTTTGTGGCGTATTTAGAATTTCGTTCACGGGGAGGAGAGGCAGATATGAAATAAAAAAATACATGCAATCGGGTGTAAAATACAAATTATACATTTTTTATTTACTAATATATTTTTGTAAGTAATTTATATTTCAATATGATCAAACATATAATTGGTAATAGGTTACCTTTCTTTTGGGAACGTGTATTGCCTCCTTCGTATTTTAATAGTGGTTCGGATTGGTTTTGTTTTAAACAGAAAGATGTATACCCTACCAGTGTTCAGGATTTGTTGGTTACTAAAACAGATAGGTTCCAACACATAAATTATGCATTTTACTGATTAAAAAGTAGAGAAATTTGAATTTAAAAATAGGTAGTCATACACATAGATATAGGTCTAGGGGGAATATATTTCCGTCGTCCCCCCTCCTCTCTCGTAAATAATCCACTGTTAATATTAGAAAGCCAACCTATTGCATACCCAATAATATTTTCTATTGTATAGATGGCTTTGTGTATAAAAAACGACGTATTGAAAAACTACACGAAAACAGAATTCGTCAACCTATCAAATTTTTGTGTGGAATATGTAAAAACTGGTCCCTTGACGAATACCGTTCAAATGTCTTCAGGACGTGTACACGTACGTCAATACTCAGTATTATAATATAATAAACGGAAAACTGACAAAATATATGTATTTTTTTTTATATAATTAATTAATTAATTTTTTTTTTTTGCTTCAGATTACGGCCGAAAATGGATTTGTTTTTCTTTCAGAATGCCGTATTATTTCTCGGTTAATTATTCAACAAATACTGTGTTTTACATTAATATATGTGTTGACATGCCACCCGTAATATACGGACAACGGCTAGCGCATAACTTATAATATTATATTTCAATGTATTATGCTCATTTGATAATATTTTTTATTGCAGACGTGAACAATGACGACTCCGTTTTTGTTAACATCATTGATCAATTTTTTGGCATCAACCGCCACAAACCGCGGTGTAATTCCGAAAATGGATTTTTTTCCTTTCACTATGCTGTTGTTGTTTTTTTTTTGTTAATTATAAAATAAATATTGTGTTTCACATTAATGTACGCTCTATATTGCCGAATTTTTTAACAGTTGTTAACTATTTCACATTTCGATTATTTCACTATACTATAATTGAACTTCAATGTTGACTGTTGACCATCATATGTTTATTAGTGAACGTTCAATAAATGTAACTTATTATTTCTTTTTTTTTATACATATATGCGAGATTAATATATTTATTTAGTTTATGGGCCTAATTGTCTAATTTAAATAAGTATAATTGTATCGACAAACCCTTACGTTTTCCAACGGTTTGTTACGTCGTGCAGGTATACAACACTGTATTGAAACTAAAGTGTTTGCTGGTCATCCTGGCGACACGGATGGAAGAAATAGTTATTACTATATAGTTGATATAGTTGTCAAGAGAGAGAAGTTACCATTAAAAATAAAAAAAAATAAATAAAAAAAATACACGTCGTTATAAAACCAATACATTCCTCGCTCTGCTCGGAATCTAAAACAAGTGCGAGGAGTTTAATAAGTTTACCTACTGAAAAATAAACTCAAAAATATACCAAATTTTGAATGAATTATTTACAGAGGAAACAAAAATAAATGGTAATAAATAACTTAAGGATTGCATTTGAAAATATACGAGTTTTCGTATAAATGACAGTACACACGCACAACAAAACGACATAAGTCGTGGGCAGTGAAATTGAATTTTCGAGACGACTCAAACGAATCTTATTTTAAATAAAAAATTATTTAAAGATACTATTTTTAAAAATATATCGTTGTATTTATAAACGGATAAAACAAACACCAAGTTTCGCGAAAATCCGATTTATCTTCTGCGAACCATCGTGGGTTTACTTACACCAGGGTTTCTCAACTTAAGTGGACCGTCTCGATTTGAAGAAGACATTTTTTTCTTTTCTTTATAAATTAAAAACAATAATCACTTTTTTCTCACAAATTCATCACCTAACTTATACAATTTACAAAATTACAACTGATGATAAACTTATGTTAATTCTGAACTTGACTTACCGTAATGAGTTTTGAAATTATTCTGCAATTGATACTGCTGATCTATAATTATACGCATTTCGTCACATTAATCACGGGGATCAAAAAGACAGACATAATTCGCATGATGGTTGGGCCACTGTTTTAGGTGAAAATTTGGGGTTGGTAGAATATAGAGGGGAATTTAATGTATGCGACCATGAATCATTGATAACGAAAAACGGTTCTGAGCGGAATTTGGTTACACATGTTTTAAAATACCGTTAGATTTACGATGTTCGTCAAATTTAATATTAAAATTCGTATAAAAAAAAAATACTTTAGTAAACTTATTTTTTTTTTTTTTTACATACCATTTTGTACAATGTATAATGAACCTTCTGTGATATTTCTGAAGTATTTCTGTTTGGTCTAACAATTGAATCCACAGAATACCTACGAAAAATAATGTAGAATTGGTATTATAGTACTTACCGACCATTACGAGTAAAGATAGTTTTGCTAAACTAAAGGGTAGACGGTTTTCATAAATGAACTGTACAACATACGCTTACATATGTATACATTTTAAATATTTTATAGGCACTGTTGAGTTATTACTTCCTACATGATTTTGTTTAACTTATTATAATAATGTACATAATAACAATCTATTGTTTGTTTTGATAATAAACTTATTAAATAGATAATTTATGTGTACTTTAGTTGGTTATAAAATAAATAATCAATATTGAAATTAATTTCAAGTACGTTTTTGAATAGTATGTGATAATTGAAAAATCGAGTTAAGTATGGAAATTATCGACTGCGTACTTAATATGCAATACGAGCGGATTTCAAAACGATTTTCAGTATTCTGCATCCTAAGAAAAAATGCGAAATGACGCCGCTAGATCTATTAGTTTTATTATGACGTGTGTTGTATTTTTTTTTCCGTAAACAAATTTTCGACCAGTAATCGTTGTTCAATCAAAAATCGCCAAGAAACATTTTTGTTGCTTTTTGGGTCTATTTGGTGAATAAGCAAAGAGAGTTTAGAGTTAAAATTTATACGAAAATCGTAAAAATCATAGCATTTTGAAATAGATATGTTAAACCGAACGTCAAACAGAATTTTTAATTTTTTTTTTATTATCAATAAATTATGTTACGTTTGAAAATTTGGGTTGTTCTCGCGGATACTTTTTGTAAAATAAAATTAAAAAACAGCTGGACTTATAATAACGAAGCGTTAACTCGGTCAACCGCAGGACATCATAATATTGTTTTCATATGACGTGGATCAACAAGTAACGGTCCGGGGCCGTATATATTTGGCTGACTAATTTTACAAATAATTTTTTTTGATTTTGGAATTTATTTATTTTTCGTATGCAAATCGAATTTCTTATATAATTAGTATGATTATGTGAATCGTTCGATTTCGCTAATCCGGATACATTTAGGAGTGTTTAAATGCAGATATTCCGTATCTAGATAAAGACGACTAACATTCAAATTTACTTAGACAAAATAATAGAGAAATACAGTACAATTTAAAAAAAAGAAAATGTATTTTAAATATTGTCCATAAAGTTTTATTGATAACGTAATATTTTATAGCAGAGAGATACAAATTTTAAAATCTTAAAATAATAATTCTGTTAACACAAAGGGTGTAAATGCCGTAAACCACTTCGATTTTTTCGGATTTGAAGTAAAACATACGTACCTAGACATTTAATATGTTTTACTACACGCGAAACAGAAATTTCGGCCCGAAATGTCGAATAATAAATATCAAAAAAAAAAGTTGATATTTTAATCCAAAACTAGTTTTTATTTTTTCTCTCCTCGTTTGGTGTTTTTGGCCTCTTTCTTTTCGTCGTCTAACTCATTACGATTGATCGGCTCGGGCGAGGACGGTCCGCCCGCCCTAGACTATGAGTGATACATCTTTTTTTTTATCCGGTACATCTTATGCGGTTAATTTATTTTATCATAGACGATCTTCGGATAGTTATTGACGGTACGCCGAAATTCGCGTGCCGAAAAGATGAACGATTTTAAAATTTAAAATTTGATCCAGACATAAATTTACATTACGATTACCGGGGTGTATATCCGGGCAAGTCTCAACGGTAAAGTTTAAACGGGTAATCTGCCTACATCCAGTTCCCCGTCCTCCGCCGGCTTCGCACTCGTCGTATATTATTTATGTATAAATAAGTATTTTATAGGTGGATAGTATTATATAGTGTAGGTTATAATATGTACGTACATAGTTGCAGCTCTTGTTATAATAAGGCGGAAGTTTTGAGGACGCTCGAGGATCCCGCGCCCGTTATTATCATAATATATACGAAACTCTCGGTCGCTAGCTAGGGGAGGGCGAAAAAATCGCGAGCTCCGTTCAATCGCGGAATAACTCGTCTTGTTGTTTTATACGACTCGGCTCGGCGGCAGGCAAAGTTTTCGAAATTTCATCGTGTCTTTGATAAGTCTCGCGTAAGTATGCGTCGACGGCGCGTGGGCGGCCGGGGAATTTTCCGGGCCACCGCCGTATGTGCAGTAGGTATAGAGATAATAATATTCTACAATAATACAGCGAATCGTTTGCTATTTCACGGCCGTGCCCGCCGCATCCGAAATTAAATACCGGCGGAGTGATATATTGCGTAGCTTTTTAAAAACCGGCGTTCAAAAGTCCCGTTTACCGGAGACGCCATTGCGAAAGTTACTGTATCTGTGCGGTCGAGCGTAAAATATACGAATACAAAACGCAATTTGAATAATTACGATACCGCAAATACGGCTCGTGTTAACAATTATCGAACAACAATTAATAGACAGTAGTGGGAATGATGAAAACCTCGATATTTTTTGAAATCGTTATAACTCGCGGACGTCCGTTTCCGATTCGTCATCGGATAGCGACGGTTCTGTGGTATTTTTAAAACTTCAATATCGGTCGAAATCGTTTGTATTTAATGTCCATTTCGCAATATTTTACGGAACTATATTGTGTTCGGTTTTATTATTTTCAGTCGGAGTTTCTGTTTGTGTTTCGAGCAATACTCTAACGGCCGCGCTGACACGGAGGCGAGGATCGCGGGTCGTCAGGGCTAAGCGCGAAAACGATAAATTACGAAATGTCGGTTTGAATGTGAGACAACGCCGCGTCCTGTGCTCAATGAGCATCGCTCATATCGCTAAAGAGTCTAACGCTCAATCTTGTTTTGCCGCCAAGAAACACGGTTACGTTTATAATGGACACCGGAACGGGAAGATGGCACTACAAACGCAACACGACATTGAAAAACCGTTCCGAAAATACCCACTTAGAAAAAAGTGCGAGAATTAAAAAACTTTAATGATTCCTAGCGCTAAGTACACGTTAAATGCTACGTATGAGTGAGGGGCACGAAACAGCGTCTGCAATATCTAAGGACGGACCCCGTACTATGGTTTTGAAATATGGCGCTATATTCTCAGTGCTTCACGTATAGCGTGGTGAAATCAGGTGGTTTTTATGAGAACGGGTAGAAAGTCAAAATACTTTTTACTTTTTATTGGACTTTTTTCGGTTTGCACGCGGATTTCAAGCCACGTAGAACGACGGTGCCGAGTCACTATAACGTTTACGGATATCGGTTTGTCACCGACGCGTGAAGTTCTGAAATAATCACCGGGGGGAATAAATCCCATGACTTCTGCGAGTTTGAAAATCGCATCCCCCCCCTTCCATCAGACTTGTACTAGGATATATCTGACACTGCAAAAGGCTCGTGTCGATAAATCGAGTCCGAAATTAGAAACGAGCCGAATGTTGTAAGACACGGTGCTCGAGCCGTCCTCTTAAAAACCGTCCGTTTCACGCGTTATGGTCAATAATAATAATATTACTCGTTTGAAATTTCTGCTTAATCGATATATCTTCCCGGTTTTTCCTCGATATTCGGAAACTCGAAACTTTAGTCCCGTTTGAGATTTTCACGCGATATTTCTCCGCTCACAGCACCCCGATTCGAGCGCTGTTTGCCCGTGCCGCCTTTACGCGGAACGACTGCGGCCGTTTTTCCGGACACTGATTTTCTCTCTCTCTCTCTCTCTCTGGCCGGTCGCCCTTTGCCGGCGTTTACCGCAGAGCAAGCGGTGTACACGGCTGTGTACAGGTTGCGCCTCGACGTCGTCCGAGCGTTTTAATAATTAACATCGTCAACGTTGTCGCGAAAATTATATTACTCGGCCGGCGGCGCGGCGCAACGCACTATTCGGTTTTTGCCCTTTGTAATTGCGTTAATTTCTCGTGCGCGGCCGGCACGCGCGCGAACCCCTGTCGCCGCCGCCGCGGGGCTACGCGAGGGTGCCGGGAAAGGACCGCCGCCGCCGTCCAAAATCGATCCCTCGGCGTTAAGGGCGCGCTATTCGGACGGCGGGCGGGAGGGGCGGGCGAGCGCGTAGTAGACGTTCAAGAGCGTGTACCTACCTATGTACATTATAAACGTAAACGCGAGCGCGGCATTGTTGGCGCGGCGCGGGTACTACAAGGGCTATAATATAATACGCGACGAAAACAAACGAGAGACAGAGCGTAACCCGGCCGTGATTCCCGCGGCATCCCCCCCCCCCACGGACCCCCGACAACGGACCGCGCGCGTATTAAGCGTTATCGTTGTTATCGTTATCGTTATTATTATTATTATTATTTATCGCCGTCGTCATCGGTTGGGCGCCCGGCTTTTGCGGCCGTCCGCGAACGCGCACCGCGCACCGTCGCTACGCCGTTATTGTGACGATCCCGCGGCGGCCGCGTCCGGAATCCCCGGCACGGGATCGCTCGGGCGAGCGAGGAACGTCATCGGTTCGTTACGTAACGCCGGCCGGTTTTTTGGAAATTTCGCCCCGTTCCCGCGCTGTGTTTCGCGGATTCCCCGCCAGCCGATCAGCCGCAACGCTATTACCGCAACAACGCGGCAGCACCGTACGCCCAGAGACGGACAAAGGAAATATCGTACGCGCGACGCACGGGCGGACGGACGACCGCGGCCCGGAACGTTTTCCGCTCCGCCGCGCTAGCGCTGCACGCGACCGACCGCCGGCGAACCCGAACGCGGTGTCGGCAACCGGCCGGCCGGCCGCTTGGAAGGCTTAGACGGGGCGCTGAGCGGACACGGCCACTCGCCAACCGTCCGAAGCAAACGTAGCCGACGTGGGGATTCGGGACGAACGTGCGCGCGCGAACACGCGCGTCGCCGGTCAAGCGATCCGCGGCGACGAAACGCCCGTTATTCTCGACGCGCCGCGATATTTGTGTTCGGCATTGTCACGGCGATACGCGTTACGATAATTGTGCGGCGGGTTGGCCGGTACGCGCGCCCGATGCACCGCCGTGACTCGTCAATACCGACGTGTTTAACACTCGGCACGCGTTCGCAACGCATCCCCGTCTCCGTGTCTAGCCGTATCTATTGGTATACGGTCCAACGGTTCTACCGCCAGTTCTGATTGTTCGCGTTCTTCTCCCCTTTGCCGAGGAGAAATATTTTCCGACTACAACCCGGCAATTGTTCCGGTTGTCGGAAAAACGGTGAGACGACAGGTCCCACTACGCAATGGGGTTTCCGAAAATTCTGGACTATAAATCGCATACCCCCGTGTAATGCGACCAACCGTTCGAAAGAAAAAAAAAAAATCAAAATCGTTTAGCTCTCGCTGTTTTACACACGGCCTTATGACAATTATATTTTGCACGTCCGCTCGTCCGGTATCGATTTTGAAGGTGTAGCCGCCGTTTGTAATCGCTTTTCGTTCTCTTATTGCAAATATCGCGTTATTCACGTTCCGTTTACGGTTGTTTTAACCACCAGAGCAAATCGACAGTTCAATACAACGACGCTGTACTAAACTGGACATTTTCAAATTGAAATGCGCGCAAATGAATAAAATTACATGGATATCTGTTAGTATTTGATTTGTTTAAAAAAAAATCTTTGGGTTATTGAAATGTAAAATGAAGGAATCGTATATGCGACCACGTGTTACGTAATTATTACCAGGAAACATACTTAAAACACGCTGAATACAACGGAAATTATTGTGCGTCCCCGTGGGACACCTGTGCATCACGAATACGTAATTGAAATAATTTTAAAAAATATTTGTTTCCGTATTGTTGGCGCATTTTTCATTTGAATTTTGTCTTTTCCGTGTTCGCGTTGCCGAAGGCCGCTTTAGCTACTACAATTAACTTATCGTTTTTCCGACAACTGGGTACTAACCATCGCCACTCGACGGCCGGTCGAGTAATACCGTAACGGAGTCTCGTCATTGATACTAATTAACTGATAACGAAAACAGACGCGACCGCCCGTGTAAACCCGGGTCAACATTTAATATTTACGATGAGTTGCGGACACATAGTTAGTCATACGCCATAGGCAAAATGCAACTAGTCGTACGCCCGTTATATTATTATGACGGGCCATGGTGGCCATTGAAATGTTAAAAATGGCCGGCGCTAAATCTAAATGCTGTAAACATTCACGTTGAAAACTTTTCATGCGCGAATTTTAATGGATCCGAAAGTCTTAAACTAAATACCATTTCGTTGTTACGATAAACAATCATAACGAAACATTTATACAAATGAAACTGGAACTATTATTATTAAGAGATAAGATATTAAAAATATAAAATTATAGTTAAAATATAACTGATTGGTGATAAGTGTTTCAGGAGGTAAAGTAAAAACGATTCGAGGGCGCTTTTTAAAATTTCACAACGGACACGATATTTGATTGCTTCGTTACTGTTCCCTCGTATTAAGTACAAATATTTCATTCGCGCGTGCACAGACTCCGTTTTCACGTACTTATTAATTCGTGCATTCAATCGAATTTTTACTTAATGATATATAATGTCATGTATTTTAACACTTATTACTGTACATAAATCTGCGCTCTAATTATAACGATACAATTATAATTTCAGCGATTTATCTTTCTTCCGGAGTACAGATTTCTGCTCAACTCGACTATAATCCTGCAGAATCATAATAAATATAATATGATCATGCAGCTTTATTATAATAATTATAATGCAACCTTAATGATACGAAAACTTTTTGTGAATCCAGCAATATCCGATTAATTTCGCGCACCTACAGTAATAATAAAACGTACCAATAAATATAAAAATAATTACAGCAAGTACAAATATAATGTTTAAAACGTCCGAGGAGAATATTTTTTAAGTAATTTTTTTTTCGGTATCGTCGTTTAATACACTGTTTTATAAAAAAAAAAAAACCACCCTATGGATGTCTACATGTACAGTCTTTTGATTTCAATATCACGCACCTTTAGCAATTAAAAACTTTTTTTTTCCCCCATCACTCTTTCTTAAAACGATTGCAAATTTTAATGATGCTGAAGAGAAAAACGCTCGAGTTATTGCGTATCTCAATTAAATCTGTAGTTTAAGCGTATCCGCCTACAAGAGGATTTTTACGATTCAATTGTCGATTCTAAGACGATGAACGTATTGGTTTTACAAAGATGTTTAATTTTTTTTTTTTTTTTTATCCTGTGTAAAAAAATTCTACCAGAAATCTTGCTCCGATATGTACGCGTGACATAATTTCTGAAAGGAAATATTGTTCAGACGGTACTTTTGGAAGGTCATTTTTCGATTTTCCAAGCGGTTTTCATAATATCTGAGGAAAACAAGGATAAAACGTTATAACAGTGACTGCGCTCGTCCCCATTATCCTTGGACATCTTTTTAAAGATAATATTATAGAATATCTATAGATATGTTCTATTTTATCTCAGAGGTTCGCGTAATACGTACCTATAGCTTGAAATTATACTTAAGTACATAGTCATAAATGAGAGAAAAAAAATTACTTAAAATATTAGCTGTTTAAAATAAAAGTATAGTTATTCTTATACAATTACCAAATATAGTTAAAATAACTACGTAGCTGGTGCATTTACATTTGATCAAACTAATTTTTTTTTTTCCATGTGCACTATTTCCGTCATAATCGAATTAATAAGGTGTATTGTATAAGAAAGGAAATAATTTTTTTCAAAGGTATAAAATACATTTCATAATATCAAATCTAATTATCGTCTGTAAAGGTCAAAATGAATTATAAAATAACGATTTTCGCGTATTCGTTCATAGTTGTAGTATAGTTACTGCAACTTATATTGCAATATTATGCATTTTTACGTTTACGAACACTTCTACAAGACGGAATTATAAAATAATTTTCATTTTATGTTCAAATTTAATAATACTGGGCATATATGGGTATTTAATTATATAATTATGTTTTAGAAATTTTTTTGCTGC